GTTACATACACCGCGGAGAACTCGTATGCACATAGAAACGAGACCGCTAGCAAAAGAAGAACCGCTACCGCACCTGAGAACACGTACACCCTGGGTTACAGAAAACAAACAAACGAAAAGTAATAAACAAGGGACGTACGTGAGCTTTGCCATTGTGTCCTCCACCAAAGCATGATCGCATAAAACGCCAACAAAAGCGCAGTCCCTGGCAGAATAACAGCCAGACCGATCGTATCCCGATCCAGCAATATAATCAGCTTCACACCCCAAGTCACCAGAACCGCCACAGGTGACAGGACAATGAGCCATGCTGTTAATGCCAGTAATGCTGCGGCAATGCTCAGGTATGATCCTTGGCAGCAAGAAGGCCATTTTCGAGCAAATACCCAGCTGCAAGCAAGTCCCGTGTGAGTTCACAGAGAAACTAGAGAAACGCTAAGCTTTTCCATACCTGTAAATTCGCCAAGGTCTCCAGTTCACTCCAAACAAGATACCAACGGACAAGGCACTGAGCACCGAGAAGAGCGTGCCACAGACGGCACACAACACGATCAGGCTGTGCTGATCTCCTGCTTCAATGGAGTCTCCCATTGCCCAGACCCCTCAGCCTGCTTCATTCACACTCCAGTCCCTATGCCTGCAGACCATGAGTTTGCAGCACTCTTGGGCAGCACCACTTGGGTACTGGCCGGAGAATGTAGCGAGCGTCATAAGATCAAATCCAGTTTATCCTAATCTAAGCTGGAAGAACCATCCTACCCTCCTGCTTCCATCCCAAGGAAATCGAAATCTACCCCTCCCTCCACTCCCACAAACCGAGAATGCAGACCGATAGCTAGCGCGCGAAGCGATTCGCAGCTCACTGCTGCCAAAACCCTGAGAGATTCCAGGCGCCCTGGAGCTGCTGCAATCGATACCCTCCCGCCCTGATGCTGGCGCTGGCGCTGGCTCGCGCTCGCGCTCCCGGCGCCTCCTGGGCTAGGGCAAGAATGCAGGAAGGACAAGCGCCTTTAGGAGCCGCATTGGTGCTAGGGCATTATCAGTCGCCATTGTTTTCTTCCTTAGCTGCCACTAAAGAAAGGATTAAAGTAAGAGAGGATTAACTATTACGTGAGAACAGGGGGCCGGCCCTAGATTCCAAAGATCCCGAATAAGAAGTGTTTTCACACCATGTAAAGGGCATTATGTAAAAGAGGACAAGTGGATTAAACGGTCAAATGGGGCGAGACCACACGTGGTGACCGTCGGATGGGGGCGGATCAGGTCCGCTACTCCTGCCAGGCAGCCGTGATTGGTCTCATGGGCATTGCGGTTTTGTAAATTTATTAGCCCTAAGAGAAAGAAAGAAAGGATCCCTCCACTGTGGAAGGAGGGAAAAGAAGGTGAAAACGAATTTTTGAAATCAGCCGACGTGGGCCGTGCAGGCTGGCACAGAGTCACATGTGACCATTGTCAGATGGGAACAGAATTATACAGTAAAGAATATGCTTAATATGTTGTGGCTATCAAATAAAATGATTGAACTGTTAAAAACATTTTTAATTAGCAATTGTTGAGAAATGTTTTCACATATATAATATATTTAAATTTTTAGTTATTTAAATATATTTTCTATGTTATAAAAAATTATAGACTTAATTTTTCTTTGTTTTTTTTATTACTGAAATCTATATATTTATATTCACAGGGTAAAAAGAGCTATTCAAGATTCTTGTATGATCTTCATCATTGGAACATCAACTTTCTTAAACAGCATATAGAGTACTTTTGAATTATTTGGAATAATAATAAATAAATAAAAGGTATAAAAAATATGTCTTACATTTTAAAATTTTATTAAAATTATAACTGAAGAAAATGCTAACTGAACTTTAAAAAATTTAATAAAAATACAAAAGAAAAAATAAAGTATAAAATAATAGAACTAGTGATTATTGTAAAATATAATATAATAATAGTATAAAAATATAAGCATTTACAAAGAGAATGATCATTAACTATTTTCCTTTATTTAATATAAATTTTAGAAAAGTTACTTACTATTTCTTCTATAAACTATAACTAACTTATTATAGCTATATACTTTATCCTTTGTTTCAATATAAAATAAAATAAAAGAATATTGTAATATAAAAATTTGTAGCTAAAGTTTTATTTTGACAATAAAAGAATATGTGCTATTAATACTATAATTAAATAGGGGGGAGGGGGGGTTGGGGGCTTTCAAAATGTATAGTAGGGATAATGTGTATGTCAAATCAAATATGGTTGACTAACTTGAGGTATAGTTTAGCTTTTGCTTGCGTATTTGTTCTCTAGCTTTTAAGTCTAATATAGGCCATTGATAGGCTGAAATAACACTAAACTCTCTTATTAGGCGTCTAGCTTGGGTCTAATATAGGCCACTAATATGCTAAAATAATACTAGACTCTATTTAGCTTCGTTTTGCTGATTTTGGCATTGGGATAAATTCCATTTGGCTCTGTTTTGTTGGTTCTAATATTAGAATGTTAGAAGCTCTAGAATGTAAGCCCTGAATTTAGTCTTCCCAAGAGGTCATCTAGCCTAGTACCATTCAAACCCAAGAATGTTTAACTCTAAGTATCCCAAGACCTTTAACCAATTGAAAAAGGGGGTGCACTTATAACTTATAACTTATATAATTTATATGAATCATCATTTGAGTTATTCCCTTTAGTTGTTTATAATCTGCTATGCTTCCTTACAAGTTCACGCCTTTGTAAACGGAAGCTAAGAGCTACAACTTTCCTAAAAGCCCTGCTCTCTTAACATCCTACCCCTCGGGTCAAGTCTAGCCGAAGCAAATTGAACCAACCAAATGTCAATTAATATATGGTATGATTCCCTTAGCCAATCAATAGAGTTAGACCCTACAAGTTCATGCCCTCGTGAAGGAAAGTTGAGAGTTGCACCTCTCTCAAGAGCCCCACTTTTTTTACACTCTACCCTTTGGGCTAAGCCCAACCGGAGCAAATTAGACCAACTAGATATCAATCAATATATAATATGATTCCCTTAACCAATTAATAAAGTCGGACTTGAGACCTCTTTAATACCAAATGTAAGCTCTTGGATTTAGTCTTACCATGAGGCTACCCAGCTTAGTACTATTCAAACCCAAAGACACTTAACCCCAAGTATTTTAAAACCCTTAACTGATTGGAAAAAAAGGCTTATAGACCCTTTCCCTCTATATTTGAACTTATATAGATCTCTCTTGAGTTGTTCCCTTTAGTTGTTTATATAGGATTCTTCCAAAGTCACTCCATACTCTTGTCCTTTCACTCGTTGGGTTGAATGTTTAGGAGTCATTCCATACTCTAGTTCCTTAGCTCTTTGGTTGTAAGTTTAGGAGTTTAGCTTTGTTCCTTCGTTTAGTTGCCCAAGGCCTTGAAACTTGTTCCACTCTATTATCCTTTGGACATGTGGTATGTGGTATGTGGCATGTGGCATGTGATATGACATGTAGTATATGAATGGTTTAGTTTCCACTTCGTGGGTATCCTATGGTGAACCACTATAGGATAAAGGGTGAAATCCATGTGTGCTACATTCTAATAAAACATTAAACTAATAGAATGGATTTAAGAGCTTGAGTCAATCCAAGTCATGGAGAACCAATGGATTAGTACTACTACTATAGGCTAAAACATTTGTATACCTCTAGCAAATTTGATCTAATATGAAGTAAATATGTATAAAAGTCTTTATAGCACTTTTTTTTCCTATAAATATCTAAGTCATATTATATTTGACTACTATAGTTTAACATCAAGAACCCTTATATCCAAAAAAACAAAACTTACTAACATGATAATATAATATTTCATATAGAGGGGTGATAAGAGTATTTATAAAGTTTGCGTAGGGCTTAGTGTTTCAAAATGTTATTTCAAAGTTTTGGACTATGGAAAGAAAGAGGAACAATCCTTTTGCATAATGATCAAGGGTATTCTCACGTGGTGAGGAAGTCCCAAAAGTCAATGGGACTCAATAGTCAGGCCTTTAAGCTTTAACCCAATGGTAGTGTTGTTGTAAATGGATAAGGACTTCATGGGGACTGAAAAAAGGATATTGAGGAAGGGTGTTCCTGTGAGACACAAAATCCCTAGGCCCCAAAGTGGAGCCGGAAGGGCGCCACATGGTAGTGGCCGAAGCGAGAGCCAAAAGAGCATAACACGTTTGGACCAAAAGCTCCGACTTGAAAAGTCAAGAGCGGGAGTGGAACTCCCAATGAAGTGCTCGAGGAACGAGCACGAAGCGAGCAAAAGGCAAGGCTCCAAAAAGGGACCCAAAAGGACCAACACATGACACGTGGGAGTGTCCGAAATGGACTCGAGTTGGAGTCCGAAGTGGAGTCCGAGATGGACTCGAGTTGGAGTCCGAAGTGGAGTCCGAGATGGACTCGAGTTGGAGTCCGAAGTGGAGTCCGAGATGGACCCGAGATGGAGTCCGAGGTGGACCCGAGATGGACCCGAGTTGGAGTCCGAAGTGGAGTCCGAGATGGACCCGAGATGGAGTCCGAGATGGGACCCGAGATGGAGTCCGAGGTGGACCCGAGATGGACCCGAGTTGGAGTCCGAAGTGGAGTCCGAGATGGACCCGAGATGGAGTCCGAGATGGGACCCGAGATGGAGTCCGAGGTGGACCCGAGATGGACCCGAGTTGGAGTCCGAAGTGGAGTCCGAGATGGACCCGAGATGGAGTCCGAGATGGAGTCCGAGATGGAGTCCGAGGTGGACCCGAGATGGACCCGAAATGGAGTCCGAGATGGAGTCCGAGATGGACCCGAGATGGAGTCCGAGATGGAGTCCAAGATGGACCCGAGATGGACCCGAGATGGAGTCCGAGATGGAGTCCGAGATGGAGTCCGAGATGGAGTCCGAAGTCGAGTCCGAGTTCGAGTCCGAGTCCGGAGCCTGAGAGGGTGAAAGCCCAAAGCGTTCGTCTCCCAGACCCTGGGGGGTTTGGTGAGCCCCAAAAGTATAGTAGGGGGGAGGACTGCAGTGGAGCCAGTTTGGCCAGGAAAGGCCAGTTTGGCCCAGGAAGGCCGGACCCAGTGTTGGGTGATGAGCTGCCCACTGGGAAGTCCAAGACTAGAGTGAACATAGACCGACAAGCAGGGTAGCTTGGTGAAGTGTTCAAGAGCCGGCTCTAGTTCCCCCGGGAGATCGACTGGCCGATGCTCCCAATCCAAGTGTGGGTGGCACTACCTACTTGGATACCTGGTGTGGCTCAACGGAACCCGCTCTAAGCCCATGGCTAGAGCACCCAAGGGTAGAAGGCGAGGAGAGTACCCAGGTGGCTCGCGTAAGGCCACGGTGTTCCGAAATGTTGTCCCAAAGGCCCAGACTGTGGAAAGGAAGAGGAGCAGTCCTCTGGGGTAGTGACCAAGGACACAGTCGTGTGGTGAGGAAGTCCCAGAGGACCGTGGGACTTAGTGGTCGGGCCTGTGGGTCTCGGTCCTGTGGCAGTGTTGGCAAACACGGCCAGGGGCAGAAAGGGACTTAGTGGGGACTGACAGAGGGATATTGGGGAAGGCTATTCCCCTTGTCGGTGGGCATCCTAAGGATGCTAAGGAGTGGATCTGAGATGACCACTCACGGATGGTTTGCCTAGTCTTGGGGAGCCAAGACTGTGATGCAAGTGGTATTGGACTACCAGTGTGGCAAAGGTGATTGGGCATGGCCTTAGCGTAACGGGCTGCTATGTCGGTGGTACCTTTGAGTGTCGGTCATGGGATCGGACACGTGGAGCACTTGGACCAAGTGCAAATGTTGAGTGGCACGGATGCCATTCTCGGGGCTAGCAAGTCCCAAGTCCTGGATTGGACTTATGGAGGTTGTGAATGAGACTCCTCCAAGTGGTCGGAGGTGTGGTTAAGTGACTAAAGTAGAATGGAAAATTTAGTCGCTTACATTTTGGTATCGGAGCTGTTCCTTAGTCCGACTTTTATTGGTGCTCAAGTATATCACCACTAGTGTTGGCATCGGAAGGTCCAAGGAGTGGGTCTA